TGGTTTACAATATACAATTGTTTAAACAATATTTTATTCATTGATTATACATATATTATATAAAGTATAAACTGGGTTTCGAAAAAAGCAGAGGCTTATGTTAATCCGTCACCTAATACAACGTACAAGACTAGAACTAATATATAACAACTTGTATAAGAAAAAATGAGTATATCAATACATTTTAATTTATTTGTAAATTTAATAATTAAGTACCAGAATAGATGATAAAATTGTAATAAGAAATAATATCCTTATCTGTAAATATAATCCTCAGAATAATTCCAAAATCTTGATCACACCGAACAACTCACAAACACATAAATTCATAATGTTTTTTTTTTTCAAATTCTTTCGTTTTCGTTTTTGATTGGAGATGTTTACAGAGAACTTTAATGAGTATCTATCACTGGCAGCCATCTTGTTTATCAAGTAAATTTATAAGCAACGAAAATTGACACAGATATGAAAAGGTAAATAGAATACATAAAGTGGGAATTGAAATCAACAAACCATCAGATGTAACAATAACGAGCAATGAATAAAGATAAGATATAACATCAAATCACACAAAGCAAATTAAGATCTAGAATTATTAACACAACTAATAAGCACTGATATAATAATAATAATTATTATGGTTCAAAATGGAAATTAATCCACAACAACAGCATTTTCGAAATCATTGGTCAGTTCGTCCACATCCTCGTTCATCTTCTGAAACAGACGTTTGATGACGGGAAAATGCTCTTCATATTTGTTCAATGACTTTCCTTGTGCATGTACGGTTCCCGTTGTGACAAAGAAACATACCCGGTACTCTTGTACTTTGATGTGATTGACGATAATGTCTATTGACCTCAATTTATTTTCAGGTGGTGCTGTGAAATACTTGTTCTCCCATATGATGTCATAATCCTTCTTTTCTTTCAAATACTTATAAAATACCCAGAAAGCCTTCAACCAACACCACATTCTCCTTCGATTTGTGTTAGGCCCGATACGGAACACCATAGGATAGGGTTTATGTGATTGTAAATCGAGTTCCTCAAACTCGGCATCTTTTGCTTTTCCCTTCTTATTTGGCTTACTCAAGGTATCTGGGAAAATATCCATTGTATACGGAATGTCTGCAATGTACTGACGGTTAGATGCCAGGCCATCTAAAGTTTCATCAGAAATGATCAAATCATGAGCCATCGCCATACTTTTTACTTTCTAGTTATCACCCGAATACTAAATATAACGTGTGTTGTTTCACAATGGAAGACTAAAAATAACGTGTGTTGTTTCACAATGGAAGACTAAAAATAACGTGTGTTGTTTCACAATGGAAGACTAAAAATAACGTGTGTTGTTTCACAATGGAAGACTAAAAATAACGTGTGTTGTTTCACAATGGAAGACTAAAAATAACGTGTGTTGTTTCACAATGGTTGATGTGTAGATTACTTATATACAAAATGTAATTTCCAATGTTCTTGGATTCACAACACCTTATTGATGGAAGTTCCAAAAATATTCAGAAACACGTTGAAACACTGTATAAAACTTTGATTTAGAGAGTGGGTTATATCCTACACCCACTTACATCTTATATTTCTATGAAATGTGACTCATGTATGTCACTGTGACCATGTAACTCTTATGGAGTATATTCACATGTATATTTATATAATTATGTTTATGTATCATATATAGGATATAGGCCTACGGTGTGGTCTACTGTCTCGCAAGTTCGATTCTATATCGCAATTTACCGATTCTTTTATGAAAAATTGAATATCAGCCTCAAAATGGTGCTTTTGGTCTAAACATTATTTTCGTTGATACAAATATAAACATAAGCACACATTATCACTTTGAAACTGGTTTTTACATATGAACATTTTCTGCCACAAAATGGGAAATTTTTTGAAATTTCTAGGAAAGAAGTGTATTTCTAGTTAATGTAAATTTACAACATGTGTTTTTTATCAACGTTAAACTAAGACTATCAGTACATACAACCCCATATTCTTTTATAGCTGATATTCGAATTAACTTTGAGAAATCGTCATGGTGGAGGGAAAGGGTTGCCCCTTTTTGGAAAATATTCTAATGAGGGAAGCCTGAGAATACATCTAACGCGATTTTGAAAGTAGAATAATTTTTTATCTAAAGAAAGGGGGGGGGGGGTGCTGCGGTGGCTCATAGACAAAAATAAGGAATGCCTCAATACGCAGATGGAAACGTATTTATATTGCAGAACCAGAAAATTACATTAAAGATTATGTTAAAGTATAGCGAAGTAGTGTGATGAACTGGCCCTAGGGCTACAAAACTTTCTCAACTTAAGAATGATTTTGTTCTTAAAAGGTTGAGAATCTAATCAGTTGAGAAATTACTCGAATACGGGGGCCACAAACCATTTTCAGGAATATTCTCAGTTGAGAACAACTTTGTTGAGTAAAAAAAGTGAAAAGAAGTGTACAAGTGTAGTGAGCCAAGGCTAACAATTATTATTTATTGCCTTTTTGTGTCCAAGGCAGAGCAATTAGAAAAGAAGGCCGCCATTTTTATTCTTCAGGATTTACTTAAGTCTCCCCCTATCTATCTCAAGGAAGTACTCAAGTAAGAAATATGACTAAAGAATGTTTGTGGTCTCCCATTTTACCCAGTGTGAGAAAATGCTCAGATTGAGTAAAATAAACTTAACAATAATCTTAAGTTGAGTAAAAAGATGTTTTCAGCAAATTTTTGTGGCCTCTGAATTTACTCAAGATTAAAAATGCGAGTACATTTCTTGCCTTCAGAAATTTTTGTGGCCCGGGGCAAAATATTAAAATAGTCATGAAATCGAATCTATTTCTACTGTTTCTCATGGTTAGTCCGAAACATCTGCCTCTAATCCAGCCTCTGATAGATATCTTGACAGTTATTGGCTGGAGTGGCTGGCAACTTTCAAACTAGTTATCAGAGGCTGGAATAAAGGCAGGTGTTTCGGTCTAAGATATTTTATCAAAGACAAATTAATAACCTTGGATTTTTATTTGATTTATTTATCCTATAGTAAATCTTAGTATAATTTCAAAAATAATATCTGTAGGATGGTGAGCGTTATCAGTACCCTTATTTGTGGCTTCATTGCAACTGAAATAAAGAGAGAAAAATGTATCACTGCATTGTTAAAGAGATCGGACAGTATAAGCTGTATGAGTAAGCTGAATACAGACAAAGAATTGCAATTGATAGAGAAAAGAACCAAGTTTTCCAAAATTTACATAAAATTTCCAGCTTACTCTTAATCGAATTCAAACTATCTTTCTACCAAAATGCACACTGGAACAGAACAATTTGGTATGTGGTCTGATTGAATAAAATGAAGGGGTGGAGTCGAAAGGGGGACGAAATGGGTAAGGGGCAAATTGGGAAGAGGGCGATATGGGAAAGGGGCGAAACGGAGAAGAGACGAAATAGGAAGGGACGATATGGAAAGACACCAGCTATTAGACTGGACGTGAAGCTACGAGGTGGAACCCGTGCTAAAAGTTGGAACTTAATAATCGGAACTTAGGGTTATGGTTTGAACTGATTATATGGAACTTGAAGTGAGCTAATTAGGTTGGAACATTGGGACTGAAAGCCAATTGCTAATTAGCAAATTGGTTGGATGCTGAGCAAATATACTTTCGGTAAAATCTCTTCGTGAATGAAGGCGATCAAAGGAAATATACAGCATGGCACTCCTTAATGAAAAATTTTGATGAAAAAAATGCAAGCCTTTTTCTATTTTCATTCAAAATAATCCATGTAAGCATAATTTAGTTATAAAGACATGCTACGATGGCCTCATTTGATTCCGGCATGCTCCCATTTGGGTCTATAACATGTTTGCCAAAAAATGACAAAAGCTCATCTTATTAAATATATACCAAAAAAAAAATGAAATTTTTAAACTTGACCAAAATGAGTTATTGTAACTCGGTTGACTGACACAACACAATACGACAGAATACCTCTATAATTCAATAAATACATAAAGTTCAGAAGCGTTTTTCAATAATTACTTGGTTTATTAATGAATATATCGTCTTAAACAGAGATTCTATTCTATAGTCATGGTACCTGGTAAGTCCAACTGATGAATATATTATACTCTTATTAACTTTATTTACCTTAATTTCGATGTCCATACGGAGTATTCCTTATGATTCACTATCATCCACAGAACATCTGCCCACAATCAGCTTGTGAGCAAGCAAACTCTCGGAACAGGGTGGGGAGTCGACAATGAGAGATGAATATTAAATAAGTTTTATTAACCTGCAATGTCTGGACACATTTCTTTGAATTGTTCTTTCATTAGTACGTTATCCTCTCTTACAGATGTTCGAATGGCTTCTGTTAAATCAGGGCAGTTTTCAGCAAAGTTAGCGACACAATCGAGTGTCTCTCGAAATTTACTGAAAGAAAAATTAAAAGCGATATTTTTGGCGCCCGACAAATTCGGCCCTACCAATTGCTCGGATGTAATATACGTATATTAGTTACTTTTTTATGGGAGGCACCGACCCACTTTTGGTATCTAGTTATTGAGAGTTTCCAACATGTTAAAAGCCAAATTTGGTATTGGTTTTGGTGTCTAGGCAAAGCTGAACAATTAACATTTTACAATGTCCGGTACCAAAATACAGTCGAGGACTTTTCCACATGTTAGGTACCGACCTGCACATTTGCTTTTGATCAAACCAGTTCATTCCATATATAATTTCAGCACATTTTGTATTGTCACAGATTCCTGACTGATCTGGTATGGTCCTTCCGCCTTCTTCTTCTTCTAAATAAACAACAATAACACCTACAACACAACCTAGACCGAAACATCTGCCTCTATTCCAACCTCTGGTAGCTTTTGTGATTTACGCCAACCGAAACTGTCAAAATATCTATCAAAGGCATGAATAGAGGCAGATGTTTCGTATTAAACACAACCGCGCAAAGATCATATAGCTCTACTTTGAGTTTTGCTTTCCCACATTTTGTCATCGTTATCATTAAACAATTCCTACGAGACAAACTTTGATTGGTTGGAAACAACAGCAAAACAACGGGCAGACAACGTGTTAGATTACGCTAGACAATAAATCCAGTGATTGATTAAATTCTCGGATGCTACATGGTGCTTTCATTCGTGGTAGATCCAATTTTCCTTATGCAAGTCGCAAAATCGATCTGAGGCCTAAAGCATACTCAATAAACAATATTAGCTATATATATGTGGTTTCGTTTCCAATTCAATCACTGAGCGCCACCAGCCCAGTTAAAAAAAGATAAACTTTTCATTTCAGGATTTTTAAAAAAGTATTAGAACTATAATCATAATATTTTGACATCATATTAAATGGATATTAGGCATCTTTTCACCAAATTACAGCTTTATAGGTTGAACACTTTTAGAAATGTGAAATAACAGTATTTATTTTCGGCTTGTCTATTGACAATGAATTTCAAAAGGTTGGTATTTCAAAAGTGTTCAACCTATAAAGCTGTAATTTGGTGAAAATATGTCTAATATCCATAAAAATATGATGTCAAAATATTATGATCCTAAATTTGAAACTATATGAAATATCCTGAATTGAAATGTGTTCTAGTTTTCTCTGAGCCACCTGATATATATATATATCTGTTTCTCTGACCTGTTGTAACCGGACATATGTCACTGTGATCTTGTCGCATTCGTAAAACATCGTTTCTTACAGTTTCTTTCATTTCTTCTGTTAAAGCCTGACAGTTGTCAAGAAAATCAGCAACACAGTCGATTGATTCTCCAAGTTTCCTGAAAAATATTTTAGTTTTGTCAGCAGGGAAGGCTTCTTGCAGTGAGAGCATTGCTACAGTACCAAAAAAATATAGAACTGCTGCACAATATACGCTGACTGTTTTCATTAGCTTGAAGCAGAAAAATAGGACGTATAGGTCATAGTAAAGATACACACCTGCATATTTGCTGATTATCAAGTCTGTTCAATCCATGTATAAGTTGGGTACATTTCATATTATCGCATGTCGTGTCGTCCACCATAACACCTTGTAAATAAACATAACACCATATAATTAAACATAACACCATATAATTAAACATAACACCTTGCAAATAAACATAACACCTTGTAAATAAACATAACACCATGTAATTAAACGTAACACCTTGTAAATAAACACAACACCTTGTAAATAAACAAAACAGGGTGTAAATAAACATAACATCTTGTAAATAAACATAAATCTTGTAAATAAACATAACACTTGTAAATAAACATAGCACCTTGTAAATAAACATAACACCTTGTAAATAAACAAAACACCTTGTAAATAAACAAAACATCTTGTAACTAAACATAACATCTTTTAAATAAACATAACATTTTGTAAATAAACATACATCTTGTAAATAAACTAGCACCTTGTAAATAAAATAGCATCTTGTAAATAAACATAGCCCCTTGTAAATAAACATAACACCATTTGAATGAATAAAAATGACACATTATAGATTAACAGCCAGGGACGTGTCTAGAAAATGTTTAAGAATGGGTGGAAGGGTATGGGGGAGGGGCAGAAACGAGAAGGTGCCACAGGCTCCCAAAAGTCAATGGAATTTAGATGGCCCGAGATGAATTTTAAGCATTTAGGGGGCTTAATTTTCACTTCAGAACAAGGCCTTTCAGATCCCAAAGGAGGGGTGGGGGCATGGCCCAATTGTCTCCCCCTAAATACGCCACTGTAAACAACAATAGCTCATGATATTTGTAATTGATTTGCATAAACCAATATAATTTCAGATATTTCTATTCATACAAAATTAAAAAGCAAAATTCGACTCTTTAAATATTCTTGTAGGATAGTAGAATTTTGACAAACTATTTCAAAAGAGTGAATAGATAGAACTTTTGTAATAAAGATATATTTACCTTTCGCCAAGAAAAACACTAAAACGACGACACTCTTCATTTCCGATTCAATTTCACCTATTTATAGTATCGTTTACCTGATTTTGATCTCGCCGTAAACAGGAGCTCAGCTGAGACATGTTCAGTCTACAAGATTATAAAAACAACACAAACTGTCATCGCCCAATTTCTTTATTTTGTTGATATGATTGAAATGGAATTTTACGTCCTTCTGTTCTGCACCATGTATGTGGGCTAAGCGTACAATGCAGGGTTCATTGAAGGACAGCGGCATTAGCATGCTCTTGATCGATTTCCAACTGTCGAGGGATCGTTAATATAATTGCGCCAGCAGTATATGGGCACGTGTGGGTCGAATCATAACTAAAATATAGACAGTTCATTTAATCTTTAGGTAGTTTAAAAAGGATAAGATATAATATACTTTATTCAAAATTTCATAGTTACATCTGATATTCATTTATATGATCTTATCCTTATTAATTTATCTGAATTAAACTGTTTTAATGTAATTTATTGTGTTGTTTTCTCCGTGCACCCTGAGAAGTTTACTTCTTTTTTAAAAACAAAATCGATTTGCTTGATTTACAACAATCAATAAGACACCCGAATGATTTGGTATCTCATATTCTCGTATCTACTTAATATAATAATACCGCATATTTTTATTATCGTGCCTTCTGGTGCAGTGACTTTCTAAATTGACTTTGAGTTTGTGATCGGATTGAAATAAGGGGGCAACGCCAGTGGGGGAAGAAATTTGGTATTTGCCCTCTAAAAAAAAGGGCTGCAACCCCAAATGTACCCAACTACATTTCTAACAAATTTATGAACACGAATTTTATATTTTTTTGTAACAGAATACACCAAATTTATTATATTTCTAAACTTTGTATTTTGAGAACCCACTCAGAAGAGCAACGTCTGAGGTTTGCTCCTATGCGATTTTACATTGCTGCCCCCCCCCCCCCCCCCTCCCCC